CTCAGTCTTCTAAGCTTGTAGGAGAAACAGCGGCGGCCGCGAAAGGCCCTATCTAGAGCCAGTGTTTGGTTTGTCTGTTCTGGGCTGCTGTAGAAACATGGCGGTTTAAAATGGCGGCTTCTACAGAATGTGACCCGCGGCCTCTGTAGATAAAAACTGCTCGGTAACAAAAACCCAACAATTTTTATTTTCAGGTGATTGTATACTCATTAAAACATAGCTATGAATATTATATTTCATATATATAATGTATTATATTTCTGACCTTTAATGGAGGATCTATTGGGGAGATTCACCAGTTTTGCAGCCACTGTACTTTCTCCCACACATTTGGAAGACTGAGCTGTATTCAGTTGGTTGCTAGCTGCCACTAAATCATACACACTGGTCCTTTATCCCAACATGGAGTCTTTAAAGTGTTCAGATTTAAACACTTGTTTAAATCTAAACTCCAAACTCCATCGGTTGAGGAAGATCATGTCATATGATCAAAAGCTCCAGAACACTTATTAAATGCCAATGGACGTTGTGGTGACACTGTTGTGTCAATATATTATTCATGTGCCAATTTACCAAGACAAATTCCTTGTATGTGAAAACCTACTTGGCAATAAACCCAGTTCTGATTCTGATTCTGACAGACACTCTGAATACATTATAAAATACTAAAAGAAACAGGAACCTATCTGTCAAATATAATGAAATACAAAGAAAACAGAAAAAATACGTTTATATGCGGAACATAGGGTGGAAAAGTGCAAATGCGACACATCAATGAAAGTGCAACAACCAGTTATTACTTTATAAATAGCTAATATTTAGATAGATAGATAGATAGATAGATAGATAGAATTAGATAGATAGATAACAGAAAATTCACGTTCCCCATTTAAGGAGGCATGCAAAGTACTCCTAATAATAATAGTAACAACAACAGGAGGCATGCAAAAGAACCAATAAAATCAATAGCAAAATACATTTTTAAACTCAGATGCATCCATACAGCAATATTACAGTCACTCTTATTCTAGATGTTCTATGTTTGACCCTTTTAAATGAGCTGGTTCAAAAGAAAGACATGAAAATTTGCACCCTGACATAAGCATCAGATAAAAAATAGCATGTTGTCCTTTAAATATAGTTGATTTCAAATCATAAACCTAAAAATCACGACTTCAAACTTCCCCTGCAAACTTTGAACTTAACTTTTTTTCTAAAGCATTTTCACCAATGGAGGGCGCTGTAAGCACCAGCAGTGTGCTTTCTACTTGTGGACGATACAAAAGTAACGGATCCCACCAGGTTGATGGCCAGAAATGCTATATTTGGAAGAAGCATTGAATTGATTATGTTTAAGTATAGGGAATGAAGTTGAAAATGGCTATGGTTAAGATCAGGGATGGCTAGGGTTAAGTAAGGATTTGGTGTGGTTATGGTTAGGGTGAGTGTGGGTGGGATTGGTCCCTGCCCAGAACTGCGGTGAGACATTAGCGACATGTGGTTGAACTATTGTCATGACATATGGCACGCTGACTGGAAATAATGATGAAGAAACACAGTTACCAAAATCCATGTTTTTGGCACGACCACAGGCCAACATCTGCTGACCCCCAGAGGTTTTAAATCTTTAACAGTTCCATCTGTGATTCAAACAGGCAGCCACGTATTTGTACAGGATGTAGAGTAACTCAATTAAAACCTTCCGGGGCTGTGGTCAACACTGATTTAATCAAGTCAGAGTCCCTTGCAAGAAGCTGGTAAGCTTTGTATGAAGAAGCTACAAGTGACTTTCAGATAAGTGATTTTAAAGTGCAACTGATCAGCCAATAAAATGCCTCCGACACAACACATTAATCAGCACAGCTTCATTTAAAACTGCTTCTCAGTCAGGGTATCAAATGGTAGCATGCTTCGATATATATTGAAGCGTTTAAGATAAGTAATATTAACTATATCAGATATGCTATTTGGGATATTTTCTTAGAAATCTTACAGAAGTTAAAGTTATATGTAAGGATATATAATAATAATAATAAACTTTATTTATAAAGCACCTTTCCAAACCAGAGTTACAAGGTGCTGTACAGTGCAAACATTAGAAAGTTAAAAAAACAGTATGACAAACAATAAAATCTAAAAGTTAAAGTTGATCCTTTGAGCAGTAAATCATTTTGAATGTATTTGTAATCATTCTGTGGTTTGGACTGTTGGTTGGATGAAACAAGCATTGCGAAGGTGTCCCTTTGGGTTCTGGGTAATTGTGACGGCATTTGTCACTATTTTTAGAATTTTTACAAACTAAACAATCGATCGATCAATCAAGAAAATAATCAGATGAATCCATAATGAAAATAGGCATTAGCTGCAGTCCTATACAAAATAGTTTGAATTGAGCTCCACCTCAAACAACTACAGCAGTAAAATCCTAATAATGTAATGATATCATATATAGGCTACTATATACTATTAGCCTATATATCATTATATTCCAAAAAGTCACAGGAACCTTTTTCTGCATTGAGTACCTTTAATTTCCTGATCATATAGACACTTTTATGTAAGTAACATTTTCAGTGCAGCAGTTTTACTTGTAATGGAGTCTATTACAGATTAAGATATACACCGATCAGCCATAAGATTGTGAGCACTGACAGGTGGAGTGAATAACGCTGATTATCTGGTTATCATGGCCCCTGTCAGTGGGGGGGATGTATTAGGCAGTCAGTGACCATTTTGTTTCCTCAAGTTGAGTGTTAGAAGCCAGAAAAATGGGCAGCGTGAGATTTGAGCGACTTTGACAAGCGGCCACATTCCAGTGATTGTTAGAAGCAACTGTGGTCATGAGCATTTCTACAGTCACTCTGAGTCTGCTTAAACAACCATGTGCTGCTTGTGTTTGATATGACACCTTCTATATTAACCACTCTGAAAAGGTCATTACTCCTTCTAAATTCAAAATTCCAAATTCAAATTCACACAATGGCTTCTACTTGGCCATGCGCACAAGCTTTCAACACAAAATCTCGCCAAAAGCACAAATCATCAATACAACAATACAATGATAATCGAACACGATACTACTATGCATTCATGTAAAGAATTTATGACATCATTTCATTTAACTTATATACAGTGTGGTTTGGTGTGTTGTGTGTGTGACGCTGTGTGTGTTGTGTGTGTGTGTGTCGCGTCTGTTTGTGTGTTCTGCGTTGGTGTGTTGTGTCTTACGCGATCCACTCCTGCTCCTCCAGTTGTGGATTGGTTAATATTAGTAGCTGGGCAGTCCAACGGCGTGTGCCTCGCTTCCTTCTCCGAGGAGTATCTTTTAATTTGGAGAGGTTTGTGTTCAGCTCTTTGAAATCTGGTATCAAGGAATTTTTTTCTTGTATCATGTCTCAATTTCTACCATTGTACAGAGAACGTGCCATATCTGTCTCAACCTCAACCTTGTTCGACACAGTTGACCGCATTACATTTCTTCTGTCTTTTTGGTTTCTGCCCATGATTTTTGTTGTTCTCCGTGCTTTCGATTGCCAATTCTTGTGCGTCACCTGAGCCTGTACTTGGTTAGACTGTCTTTGCTTTCTAAATCTTTGATGTTACAGAGATAATTTCTGCTTAATTCCTATAAGCTCCTCTCACTCACGGGCAAAGAAAACATGTCCAACTCTACTTTGGCTTTAGTTGTCCTTCTTCCCAGAATCTGGTCACAGATACGTCTTTCTTGAAGCGAGTGCCTATAATTTACTCTGGATTTACTGTATTGTCAGAGCAGTGTTGTGTGAGGCTGGGTCCAGAGTGTGTCTTGAGAGGGGGCATGTTAGCTCAGTACAACTGACACAGGGACTCTTTCTGGCTCAGCTCTTGGGTTTGGAGGGCTTTGGAGGAGTGTTCTGGCTGGATTTCAGGTGTATATAAAAAATTGAGCGTTTCTCTTCTGAATTGTTAATTTATCATGTGGTATCTATGCCTAATTCTGCTCTACAGTGCTACCTTTGTCTGGTCGTGTTTCTGTGTACGTTGTGAAAATGATCTTGCAAATTCTGTGCAATGTAGAGTAATCTCTGTTGGATGTTTTGTCCCCAGCGGTAAGCTCTGTATGACTGAGTGGACCACCATGACTTCAGACTGACCGGGTACACGTCGTCATATGGGCTGGATGACCACTATCAATTATATTTTTAAGCCAGATTTTTATTGAATTGGAAATTATAAAATTTTCTCTTAATTGCATATAGAGCTCTTCAAGCTTTTTCTTTTAGTGCATTCACTGCCATGTTGAAACTCCCTGATGCTGTTATGGTTATACCAAGGTAGGTATAACTCATGCTGTGTTCAATGACATGATTATTGATGGTAAATTATTGATGGTAAAAAGTGTATACCTCAATAAAAATGACAGAATCTATGAATATGCAGATTTAGTTAATTCCTTAAGTTTGCCTGCTGGACACAAGA